AACACTGCTGATGTCTTCACCAAGGCACTTGCGCCTTGTGATCATCAGCGTTGCTGCACGCAGTTGGGTCTTGTGCCTGTCTTGCCTCACTTGCTCACTTCTTGACCTTGCTTGTACCTCGACCTATATATAGTCTTGCTCTTGCTTGCTTGACTCTTGTATATCTCTATATACGGTCTTGCATGTGAACTGGCCTTGTGGCCCTTGAACTTGTGCTCGGAATGTGTGGTGACTTTGTGATCCACCCTGAGCTTTGCTTTGTTTTGCTTGACTGGTCTTGTGACCCCTTGTTCTCCCCACTTTGCCTATGGGGGTGTGTCAGAATATTATAGCTTACTTATTTGTGTAGGCTATAGTGAGGTATCCCATAGGGGGTACAACCCAACTAGAGTTTCCTATTTGTACTCACTTCACTCATAGTCATTTCATCCTCGTTCTAACTTTCTCAAATTTGTTGCCGCGCCGTATAGGTAGTATTAACCGGTTCGAAACGCCCGATAAATTCTGCCCGAAACTGCTGCCACGTTTTCTCCCCGCGGGCCACGTCAGTGTTGTAGATCCACTCGAGTGCTGGTCCGCGTAACAGTGTTGCTGCGAGCCGGATTCGTGTTGCGTCGTATGTCGGGGTCGAACAGCCAATGGCCTCGAAGTAGATCTCGAGGATTGCCACGAAACGCCGGACGTCGGATCCCTTTGCGCTTGGATCGAACGCTTCCGGGAGCCTCGGTCGTGCTGCTTCGAGGTCCGGCTTTGGTGGTGCCATTGGGCCGTGAAATATCGCTGTCGCCACTGCTGCCGAAATTGTCGGTGCTGCAGTGGTTGCAGTCGCTGCTGCTGTCGTGGCGAGCGCCGGGTGGCTTGTTAAAAAAGCCTCGAATCGACGAAGCGTCGCTTGCGTCTGCTCCATGTCGGTGCGGAGGCTCGCGACGTCGCTCGTGGTCGCGTAGTTGTCGCCCTGACCTTCCATTTGGCGATTTATAGGAAGATTTGCGACCAAAATAAATGAATTTCAGGCGCTGGTCATCTTACTGTGAGTCGAGTTGACTGCAGAAATGACGAGGGCTGTTTCTGTAGGTCGCGTTATTCTCCCTTAGTCGAAATTCGCGTCTGATCTCGGCCGTTGAGAAGAAATTCGATCCGACGCTCCAAACTCCAACTTTTTTGGGCGAAATTCTCAGGGCCGTTGAGATTCGAATCGATCCGACGGTCGAAATTCCAACTTTTTCGCTTCAGGACCTGAGGAGTGTTCAAAAACCGGTTCGAGGGGGACGTTAGAAAATAGCGCGGAATTGGTTTACGTACCCGAAATCGGCGCTTCCCGTTGTCGCCCCCGCGGTTTTAAAAGCTAGGTTTTTAGCGGTCGAAAAACTTCGCTTCTAAACAGGCTCTGGTTACCAAGTGTGCGGATCTAGGATCGAGCTCAGAAAAGAGAATGAGATTGAATATGAACACCTGGTCACAACACGAGGCTGTATACAGGCTCGACACAAAGCCCCGTAACCAGGTGTTACGCAAAGGTTCCGCGGGTCGCGTAGCGTCCCGAACAGATCCTTACCGAATTCGGTAGAAGGCAATTCGGTGGCAACCGAAAAGGCCAGAATTCGGTGCACGCAACCTAGCTCGGTACTATAACTATAATAAAATATAGGAAAGCACCTAGCGTAGGAAATCAAGCAATTCATGCATGCATATGATTATCCTATGCTAGAAATAGCATAATAAAGTAGAGGCAAGCAAGCATAGCTGGCATAAGCCGTCGTACTCTCACAATGTTGATGTTCCCGCTGTTGTCTCTGCAGCTACCGATGTTGTCTCTGCTGCTGCCGTTGTTGTCTCTGTTGCTGCCGATGTTGTCTCTGCTGCTGCCGATGCTGTCTCTGCTGCTGCCGATGTTGTCTCTGCTGCTGCCGAATGTTGAATTGTCACCAATGCTCTTCTTCTTTCTGCTTCAGGTATCGTGTGTGAATACCAGAAGCCGTCAAGGCTGAGGTTTGGGTCAAGGTCTGGTGGATGCGTCCAAGATGTGAAGGTGACGATGCCGTCACTGTCGGCGGTGCCGAGGTCTTGAACGAAGTCGAGAACGAAGACATTGTTCTTCAAGACTGCCTTGCTGATGTAGAGTCCTCCTCTCCCATGGTACAACTTGAACTCCGGGGTGATGCTGTCTGCTTCGAGGTGAATTCCTTTTGCCATCAACTGGCTGACGCTCAGTAAGTTGTAGCCGAGTCCCTCCGCGATTAATACCTTCGACATCTGTAGTATAAGGTTAGTTTCTCTTGACTGAAGTTGAGCCACGCCTTGTCGTCGTGTGCGCAGGTTCTGGTTGTTGGCGACGGTGATGACTACTTCGCGTTGGAGTTGGTACTCTTGCTACACGAAGGGTCCTGAAGAGCACATGTGCTGTCAGCAGCAAGTGTCCAAGAACCAGGTATCTTTCCCGGATGGCTCGCTCTGGGCGATGGCTGCGTACGTTGGATTCGGTTGAAGTGACTCGCGGCGAGGTGTGGTGTTGTCGAGTTGTTCTTCCGGTGAGTAGTGTGGCAGTGATTCGGTGATGCAGGAGTCTGACAATTTTGCCATGCAGCTGACGATATTTCTTGTTCCTTGTGCAGATTGTGTTGACGGAGATGTCGTTGAGGACTGCAATTGACTTGTGGGGTTCGCTTGCGTGGAGGCGACTTGACTGCTTGAGGGTCGAAGCTGTCGTTGTGGCGGTGTTGACCGTTGTCGATTCGTGCAGTGTGTGCGCGGGTGTCCTGACGTCTTGTAGAGATGGCAGAACGGAGGTACGGGCTTTGGTTGTTGTCGGTTGTTGTTGTTGTTGTAGCGTCGTTGAGTGTGAAACGCAAATTCGGGTACTGATGCTTTCTTCTTGTGTCGTTCCTCTTGCAGGTCCATGTCTTGTTGCTCGGCGTGTATTTTGGCGCAGAGTGCTGCTTCGGAGATTCTCCCATGAGCTCAGAGGATGGCCTTTGTAGCGCACCATTGAGGGCCGAGGCCGCCGATGATGACTTTCACGAAGGCGTCTTCAGATATCGACCTTCCGCATCGAATGAGTTTGTCGCGCAGCTCGCGACAGCGGCTGATATACGCTATTCCCTTTTGCCTGGTTTCATTTCCACTGCTGTCAACTGCGCCATTAGCCGACTTTGATTAACGCTGTCTGTTGTTTGGTACATGTTCTTCAAGTGGCTGTATGTGAGTTCGGCGGAGTTGCCATATCCCCGGTAAGACCGTATATTCTGCTGCTGGTTCGAGGTGATGTTCCTCAGTAGAATCGTGTACGCCATCATTGACTGATAGGTGTACTGCTGCTTCTCGTACTATGTCCCGTTTGTTGGGTATGGCAGGGATCCGTCGAAGAAGCCAAGAATCTGCGCGCCTTCAATCATTAACTTAAACTCGAACAACCAGGTGAAGAAGTCCTTTCCGTCGAAAGGCCTTGACGTCTGAAGTTTTAAACGTGCGCGAATTGCGACTGAACTTGAAGTGCGTCCAGTGGTTTCTCCTGTCCAGGTGCAGGCTGCGGTTGTGGCATAAAGCTGACGGAGCCGCGCTGGGGCTCGTACGGAGCAAAGGTAGGTTGCCGCTGTTGATTTCCACGTGCGTAGGATGAACCGTCAAGACTCATTGGGGTCATGTTGTTGTTGTTGTTGCTGTTGTGTGACTGCGCAGGTACCGATTGCTGGTGTGGCTCGTAGAAGGACATGAAGGAGAAAAACTTCTCCGTCATGCTCTGGTCGAAGCTTGCAGGTTGATTCGCAGAAGTCTCGTTGGATGTTGCCCTGGGTCTTGTTGCCGTACCCTCCTCTGTCTTTAAGCCAGAGGCAGGAGGTGGAGTAGGAGTAGTGCCGGGAGAACCAATAGAGGAACTCCTTTCCTTCTGAGTAGCCATGTCTTCTGATGTTGTAGGTGTTTTGATAGTTGAATTCCCCCTGATAGCTCTCATACCATCTTGGGCTGAGAAAAGCCCTTAGGATCTTTGCAGGGGTGAACTCTGAGTAGGACTGATGTAATAGCGGAAGCATTTAGTGAAGAATTGTGAACCACCTTGCACTAGTATGTGAGGGCAAAGTCGATTGATTAAAGCAAAGAGATACAGGATTATATAAGAGTACAAGGAATATGAAGAGATACAGTTATAACTACTTTACTGTTGCTGTTGCGGTTCGATACAGTGACGACTCGGGCAACTGGTCTGTAGCGAGTCAGTTGTGTGTCCTTGCTGTTGCGCTGTACTTGTCACGTCAAAGGTCACTGACCTTTGACTTTCGCGTAACCTCCAGCAGTTTCTTCAACCTCCGAGGGTTGACTCGCTGGTGCCTCGATATGCTTTGCTTCGCTTGTGCCTTGGTGTTTCGACACGACAGAGGCGCTTAAGCTTGATTGTTTCCAACACAGATGAAACATAATTGCTGGTTTAAGAAATCAGATGAAATGAAAAAAGTAGGTCTGATTTTCAGACCATCAGACCGATTCGGGCAGATAACCAGAGCCCTGGGTACAACCCTTGGTTAGGGTTGCTATTTGTACCACTCATCCTGCTTTAGTCAATCCTTCCTGTTTCCATATTTTGACACAATAGCCTGGGGGTTTATGGCTCACCTCACCCACATGCGTGCGTGGCGTGGTCAGTGTGGTCCATGTAGTTTATACTGAAATTTCAGTGCACAATTGAGAGGGGCAGCCCCTCAAATATGCTGAATTTTCAGGGAAAACGAAAATCACAGCTACAAAATCAGCCTAATCCCTGTGTTTTACACTGATAAATGAGGGCCTTCTCCCCCGCACTTCCCAAGTAAAGGGGAAGTGGCCACTCCGCACAATATCCCAGAATTCCATGCGACAGGCACACCCAGCAGGCACCAGTGCATGCAGTCCTGCTGCCCTGGTGCCTTGCCATCCTTGTCATACCACTGACAGGTGCACCAGCAATAAGTATTAGAATCGAAAATACTGTAAGATACCGTAAGAACCCACTGCAATTTGTACAGTAGTTGTTACATGTCTTGAACCAGCCTGCTGCTGCCATCCCTATCCCCTCTCCCTTGCACTTCCCCAGACAAGGGGAACCGACCACTCCTCACAATCTCCCAGAACAGCAACTCATTCCAAGTGTCAGGCACACCAGGCAGGCACCAGTGCACGCAGTCCTGCTGCCCCGGTGCCTTGCCGTCCTTGTCATACCACCGGGACAGGTGTGCCTCGGGGCGCAGGGCAGACAGCGCCGTGATGTTCAACAGCCGCACTGCCGTGCCCTCCACTGCTGCCTCCGCGTTCCAATCCCGCGACTGGAAATGCAGCCGGTCTGTCTCCTCTTGAGTCAGCATGCTCTGGGGGAAGGGGGGGGGAGGGTTGGGGGAGAGGGTTGGGTGAAGAATGTGGAATGTGAAATGTGAGAAGGGCAGGCACCAGTGCACGCAGTCCTGCTGCCCCGGGGCCTTCTCGTACCACCGGGACAGGTGTGCCTCGGGGCGCAGGGCAGACAGCGCCGTGATGTTCAACAGCCGCACTGCCGTGCCCTCCGCTGCTGCCTCCGCGTTCCAATCCTGCGACTGGAAAAATAATTGGTCGGCTTGCTGCTGAGTCGGCATGCTCTGCAGAGGTTTCGGGTTTCAGGGTTTGGGGGTTGGGGGTTGGGAATCGGGACTGGGAGTTGGGACAGGTAGATTGAGCAGCTGCACCGCAGTATCTTTAACTTCAATCAGCAAAAATCTCCCACCTTTCTATACTTGCTCTAAGAAACACTACCATGCTCACAGCCCTGAATAATCCTAAAATAACCGTTACCAACCCCGAAAAACCCTGAGCATCGCTAACCCCTCACCTGCAGCTTGTCACAACCCCCGCCATTGTTCCATTGCCCAACCATGAAATGTGCCGGCGACCGCATCACCAGCAGCACCAGTGGCAGCAGTGGCAGCAGCAGCAGCAGCAGCACCAGCGGCGGCAGTGGCAGCAGCAGCAGCACCAGCACCAGCGGTGGCAGTGACAGCAGCTGCACCAGCAGCATCAGAGGCAAAGCACCAGCAGCATCAGAGGCAAAGCACCAGCAGCCCATGCTTTCATCCCCCAACAATCCCCAACCCCTCACCTGCAGCTTGTCACACCCTCCGCCAGTGTTCCACTGCCCATCCATGAAATGCGCCGGCGACCGCGTCACCAGCAGCACCAGTGGCAGCGCCCGCACTCCCCCCTCTCCCCCCTCTCTCTCCGCACCTTCCCCCCTCCCCCCTTCCCGCATCGCAACCAGTCGCATCCTCTCCCTCTCCTCGGCTATCGCCTGCAGCTGACGGTGAGTCCAGAGGGCGGTCGAGCGCAGCACGGTGCGCATGGGCACGTTGAAATCACCTTCCATCTCCTTGTGCACGTCTGGGGGGACCGGGACCCCGTGCAGGTGGAAGTGCCACCCGTACTCCTGCATCTTGTTGCTGGGAGGTGGGAGGGGAGAGGATGGGGGGAATGAGGGCATTGGGCAGAGGAGTGCAGCACGGTGCGCATGGGCACGTTGAAGTCGCCCTCCATCTGCTTGTGCGCGTCTGGGGGGACAGGTATGCTGTGCAGGTGGAAGTGCCACCCCTACTCCTGCATCTTGTTGTTGCGGGGGATGGGAGGGCAGGGGATGGGGGTATGGGGGACTAGGGAAATGAGGGTATGGGGGGGAACGCACGGGCAGCACGGTACGCATGGGCACGTTGAAATCGCCCTCCATCTCCTTGTCTGTGTCTGAAGGGATTGGCAGCAATCCCATATGGAACTGCCACCCGTACTCCTGCATCTTGTTGCTGGGGGGAGGGAGGGAAGGAGTGGAAGAGGGGGGGAAGATACTAAACCTCTCCTTTCTCTCCTCTCCCTCTCCTTGGCAATGGCCTGAGCCTGGCCTCACTTGAAGGTACTTCAAGCTCTCACAAGCAACCGTTTGAAATGAGTGCAGAGGCAACTTCCGTCGCAACCGTTTTAGGCCGTTGAAGGAAGACGGGACTTCTGTCTGGTCCGTCAGAGACAACAAGGTTTTGCTCCACATTAGTGACGAGCCGAAAAGCAATGTTATCAAAGAATACACATTCGGTAAGTTTCTCGCGAGTTGCGTTTTTTTCAAGTATGCACTTTGTTAGGCAAGTACCTGGCATTTGGAACCGTGTGACCTGTTTCATATCACGCCTTCAATGAGAGTTGTGCTTCAAAAGATGTTTTCGACAAAAGCACGCGACACATTGTTACAGCTGCTCTCCAAGGCATCGATAGTTAGTCGCATTGCATCTCGAGTCCCATTTGATTGCCAATCACACGATTCTTAGGAGTGTCGATTGACTTGAGTTGTCGTGTCACAGCATGTTGACTGTATCATCGTGGACTCTTCAGGTACCCTTCTCGTTTATAATCAAACGAGCAGCGGCAAGACTTTTACTATGAATGAAGGTGTCTTCCTTCTCTGCATCCGACAGGTGTTCGGCCACATCGAGAGCGAGGTAACAGATCAACATCTCAACATCACAGCCTCAAGATGTTGATCTGTTACCTCGCTCTCGATGTGGCCGAACACCTGTCGGATGCAGAGAAGGAAGACACCTTCATTCATAGTAAAAGTCTTGCCGCTGCTCGTTTGATTATAAACGAGAAGAGTATCTGAAGAGTCCACGATGATGCAGTCAACATGCTGTGACACGACAACTCAAGTCAATCGACACTCCTAAGAATCGCGTGATTGGCAATCAAATGGGACTCAAGATGCAATGCGACTAACTATCGATGCCTTGGAGAGCAGCTGTAACAATGTGTCACGTGCTTTTGTCGAAAACATCTTTTGAAGCACAACTCTCATTGAAGGCGTGATATGAAACAGATCACACGGTTCCAAATGTCAGGTACTTGCCTGACAAAGTGCATACTTGAAAAAAACGCAACTCGCGAGAAACTTACCGAATGTGTATTCTTTGATAACATTGGTTTTCGGTTGGTCACTAATGTGGGCAAAACCTTGTTGTCTCTGACGGACCAGACAGAAGTCTCGCCTTCTTTCAACGGCCTAAAACGGATTGCGACGGAAGTCGCCTCTGCACTCATTTCAAACAGTTGCTTGCGAGAGTTTGAAGGACCTTCAAGTGAGAGCTTTCTCACTGAGCCATGGCGTGCAGCTGCCGGTGAGCCCACATGGCAGAAGAGCACAGCACGGTGCGCATGGGCAAATTGAAGTCACCCTCCATATCCTTGTGAGTCTCTGGCGGAACAGGGATGCCGCCTAGGTGAAAGTGCCACCCATACTCCTGCATCTTGTTACTAAAGGGGGGAGGGAGGGAGGGGAAGAGGGGAGGAAGATACAGAAAACATTCTTCCCACTCTCTCTACTCCCGCTCTTCCTCTCCTCGGCTATCTCCTGCAGCTGCCGGTGAGCACACATAGCATGGGGATGCAGGAATGGGGAGACAAGTGGAGAGAAAACGATGTGTAACGACAATGTGTATAATAACTCATCCTCTGTACACTTTTTGTGCAGCTTTCTTCGTTATAAGCACAGATTTCAAAACACACATGTCCTAGAAATAGAGAGCAATATGATTACATACATCTCCATTCACATGTCCTATTACCACTATAATCACACCCATCTCCACTCACATGTTCCAATGGTGCCTTGTGTTCATTATAATCACATCCAGCTCCTCCATATACTGCCTCGAGACACCAGCCAGTACCACATAGCAATACCTCTCCCCCCCTTTGAAGTTACACCCCTCTTCACTCACATGTTCCAGTGATGCCCCGTGTTCATTATAATCACATCCATCTCCTCCATATGCTGCTTCAAAAACTCGTCAGGTTGGTCCAGGTGGGCCGCCTGTCCCGCTGACTCGTTCGCCCAATCCTTGCGCGCCACATGGCACAGCGACGTGGTCCACTTGAGCACCACTGTGGTGTTGGTTTCAGGGAAGCGGTAGGCTGAGCCCTGCAGTGGTGAGAGTGGGTGGGGGAGAAAAAGCGAAGGAAGAAAGTGAGAGTTGAGGAGTTGAGGAGAGTTGGGACACCTGCCACCCACCTGCCACCCACCTGCCACCCACCTGCCGCCCACCTGCCGCCCACCTGCCGCCCACCTGCCGCCCACCTGCTGCCCACCTGCCATCCGCGCCAGCCAGCAGTCCAGTTGAACTTGTAGTCCGCTGTCATGTGACTCGATGTGCGGATCGTGGGAGCGTGGCACGGAGGGGAGATGGGATGGGGCACGTTTTGAGACACCCCACAACTCCCCTCCACGCCACCACCCACCCACCCATCCACCCACCCACCCGCCCACCTGCCATCCGCGCCAGCCGGTTGTCCAGTTGAACTTGTCGTCTGCATTGCGTGACTCGATGTGCGAATCGTGGGAGCATGGCGCGGAGGGGAGATGGGATGGGGCACGTTTTGAGACACCCCACAACTCCCCTCCACGCCACCACCCACCCAACCCACCCACCCACCCACCCGCCCACCTGCCATCCACGCCAGCCAGTTGTCCAGTTGAACTTGTAGTCTGCTGTTGCGTGACTCGATGAACGGCTCATGGGTGCGTGGCGTGGGGGAGAGATGAGATGAGATGAGGCACCATCTGAGACACCTCACAGCCCAACCCACCTGCCACCCACCCACCCACCCACCCATCTGCCACCCACCTGCCATCCGCGCCAGCCGGTTGTCCAGTTGAACTTGTTATCGCTGTCTCGCGACTCGATGTACGGCTCGTGGGTGCGTGGCGTGGGGGAGTGCCTTGGAAATGGGAGAGACGCACCTGCCATCCGCGCCAGCCGGTTGTCCAATTAAATTTGTAGTCGCTGTCGCGTGACTCGATGTACGGCTCGTGGGTGCGCGGCGTGGGGGAGATGAGGCAGAGGAAGGAGAAGAACTGCTGCAGCCCCACTGAGTCGCCCACAAACGCCACCTTCTTGTTGCGCAGACTGGGAGCAATGAGGATGGGAGAGTGGGTGGGGAATCGACGGGGGAGTGGGAGAATAGGGGTGGGATGGGAGAGAGGAGGGGCATGGGAAGCAGGAGATGAGGCAGAGGAAGGAGAAGAACTGCTGCAGCCCCACGGAATCGCCCACAAATGCCACCTTCTTGTTGCGCAGGCTGGGAGCAATGGGATTGGAGAGTGGGGAATGGACGCGGGAGTGGGGGCATAGGGGCGGGATGGGAGAGCAGGGAATGGAAGGCGGAGATGAGGCAGAGCAGCGAGAATAACTGCTGCTGGCGCACTGAGTCGCCCACAAACGCCACCTTCTTGTTGCGCAGACTGGGGCCGGACTGAAGCATAGGGCACTCGGCACCCCTGCGGCGGCTGCCAGCGGTACATCCAGGAGAGGAACGAGGGGCGGTCCTTGCATCGCCTCACCAAGTAAAGCACCACATCCCATCTAACCCATCCACACCCACCGTTCTTTGAGCCCAGTGCGGTTGAACCGGGGCACGCGGCACCCCTCTGGGTGCCTTTCTGTACTGCTCGTACATAAAAGAAGGGCGGCCCTCGTTAACCACACCGACCAATCCTCATATCCTTCCCACCACTCCTTACCCTCCCAGTCATCCACCCATCCACACCCACCGTTCTTTGAGCTCGGTGCGGTTGAAACGCGGCACTCTGCATCCCTCTGGCTGCCACCTGCACTGCCCGACGTAGAGGAAGGAGGGGCGGTCCTTGCGGCATACCAAGAAGCAAAACCACACAAACCAACCCAGTCTCCTCGCATCCATCCACACCCACCGTTCTTTGAGCTCGGTGCGGTTGAACCTGGGCACCCTACACCCCTCTGGCTGCCACCAGTACTGCTCGTAGAGGAACGAGAGGTGGTCCTTGCGGCGGCACGTCCAGTGGGGCAGAGGGAACTGGCACACCCACTCTCCTCACATCCCACCCACACATACATACAAACCCCACAACCACACACCCACCGTTCTTTGAGCTCAGTGCGGTTGAAACGAGGCACGCGACACCCCTCCGGCTGCCACCTGAACTGCTCGTACAGAAAAGAGGGGCGGTCCTTGCGGTGGCAGATCCAGTGGGGTAGCGGGAACTGGCATGTGCTGCCGGAATACAGCGGGTGCTGCTGCTAAAAGTCCCTCACCCACCACCCCGTTCCCCCCCCCCCCCCCCTCTCTCTCCCCACCCCGACACACGAGGTGGACAGAGCACGTACCGTTCTTTGAGCTCAGTGCGGTTGAAGCGCGGCACGCGGCACCCTTCTGGCTGCCATCGGTACTGCTCATAGAGGAAGGAGGGGCGGTCCTTGCGGCGGCACGTCCAGTGGGGCAGAGGGAACTGGCACGTGCTGCCGGAATACAGCGGGTGGTGTTGAGAGTCCCTCACCCACTCCCCTGAATACAGGTCGCAGGTTTCCGACAGGAGCGGCAACGGCTGTCTTCTTCTTCTTCTTCTTCTTCTTCTTCTTCTGCTGCCTTTCCTCCCTTTTCTCCTTGTCGTTCTGTGCTTGCTGGATGTGATGTTTAGGGTTGGTGAGCGGCTAATCCCTGCCCCTCCCACGTGATCAATTCCCGTCTCCTCGTTGACTGTTCTCACTAGACTAACACCTGCTTGCTCCTGCTGCTGCTCCTGTTCCCCTTCGTCCTCCTCTCCCACTTGCGCCCCCCACTCTTGACCTGATTGCACTTTGGCAGCATTCTCCTCGCCACCAGTGGCAGCATCTACGTGGTTACCACTACCATGGTTACCACTGGCGTTGCTACCACTGGCACCAGCAGCAGCAGCGTCTCTTTCACCAGAAGCAGCAGCACCGAGCCTATCAGCAGCACTGATTCCATCTCTTTCCCCAGCAACAGCAGCACCATCCATCAACCGTGCTCTCTCTGCCCTCTGCTCTCCATCTGTCTCCTCCTCTGACTCCTGCTGTTGCTGCTGCTGCTGTTCCATCCCCTCCATAAGCTTCCTTGCTTCCTCCACTGTGGCAGGGGATGGAAGGGCAAGTAGTGCCATGCCATGGCATGGTGAAAAGTCATTGTGGAAGCGAGTAAGCTTATGGAGGGGATGGAAGAGCAAACATGGCTGTGGCGACACATCACCAGATGGAAAAGCAGCAGCAGCAGCAGACAGGCCTTAGCAGCAGCAGACAGGCCTTAGCAGCAGCAGCAGCAGCAGACAGGTCTTAGCAGCAGCAGACAGGCCTTAGCAGCAGCAGACAGGCCTTAGCAGCAGCAGCAGCAGACATGCCTTAGCAGCAGCAGACAGGCCTTAGCAGCAGTAGCAGCAGCAGACAGGCCTTAGCAGCAGTAGCAGCAGCAGACAGGCCTTAGCAGCAGCAGCAGCAGACAGGTCTTAGCAGCAGCAGACAGGCCTTAGCAGCAGCAGCAGCAGACAGGCCTTAGCAGCAGCAGACAGGCCTTAGCAGCAGTAGCAGCAGCAGACAGGCCTTAGCAGCAGTAGCAGCAGCAGACAGGCCTTAGCAGCAGCAGACAGGCCTTAGCAGCAGTAGCAGCAGCAGACAGGCCTTAGCAGCAGCAGCAGCAGACAGGTCTTAGCAGCAGCAGACAGGCCTTAGCAGCAGCAGCAGCAGACAGGCCTTAGCAGCAGCAGACAGGCCTTAGCAGCAGTAGCAGCAGCAGACAGGCCTTAGCAGCAGCAGACAGGCCTTAGCAGCAGTAGCAGCAGCAGACAGGCCTTAGCAGCAGCAGCAGCAGACAGGCCTTAGCAGCAGCAGACAGGCCTTAGCAGCAGCAGACAGGCCTTAGCAGCAGCAGCAGCAGACATGCCTTAGCAGCAGCAGACAGGCCTTAGCAGCAGCAGCAGCAGACAGGCCTTAGCAGCAGCAGCAGCAGCAGACAGGCCTTAGCAGCAGCAGCAGCAGACAGGCCTTAGCAGCAGTAGCAGCAGCAGACACGCATTAGCAGCAGCAGACAGGCCTTAGCAGCAGCAGCAGCAGACATGCCTTAGCAGCAGCAGACAGGCCTTAGCAGCAGCAGCAGCAGACAGGCCTTAGCAGCAGCAGCAGCAGCAGACAGGCCTTAGCAGCAGTAGCAGCAGCAGACAGGCCTTAGCAGCAGCAGACAGGCCTTAGCAGCAGTAGCAGCAGACAGGCCTTAGCAGCAGCAGCAGCAGCAGCAGACAGGCCTTAGCAGCAGCAGACAGGCCTTAGCAGCAGCAGCAGCAGACAGGCCTTAGCAGCAGCAGACAGGCCTTAGCAGCAGCAGACAGGCCTTAGCAGCAGCAGCAGCAGACAGTCCTTAGCAGCAGCAGCAGCAGACAGGCCTTAACAGCAGCAGACAGGCCTTAGCAGCAGCAGCAGCAGACAGGCCTTAGCAGCAGCAGCAGACAGGCCTTAGCAGCAGCAGCAGCAGACAGGCCTTAGCAGCAGCAGCAGCAGACAGGCCTTAGCAGCAGCAGCAGCAGCAGACAGGCCTTAGCAGCAGCAACAGCAGCAGCAGACAGGCCTTAGCAGCAGCAGCAGCAGCAGCAGACAGGCCTTAGCAGCAGCAGCAGACAGGCCTTAGCAGCAGCAGCAGCAGCAGCAGCAGACAGGCCTTAGCAGCAGCAGCAGCAGACAGGCCACGTACAGAGGTACTTGTCCACGTCAAGGGGAGCCTCGTCATCCTTGAAGTTGCAGGGTGCTTTTGAAAATCCTCGAAAGCACTCTTTGAAATATCTAAAAACACTTGTATTAGACACGAGCTGCAAGCACAAGGCCACGTACAGAGGTACTTGTCCACGTCAAGGGGAGCCTCGTCATCCTTAGCACCAGCCTCAGCTGCATCCTCGTTAGAAGCGTCCTCGCTAGCAGCACCTGACTCAATCCCACGACCTTCAGCAGCAGCAGCAGCAGAAGCGTGAGCATCTCCTCCCGCAACACCTCCGAAAGCTTCACCGTTACTTCTCCTGCCATCTACGCTGATAGCGCCGTCTCCGCGATTCGCGCTCAATTGACCGTTGCCTTCAGTCGAACCGCTTCTTGATCCGGCGATTGGTAGATCCGCAACAGGAAAAGCAGCATCTTTCCGTATCCTAGCCTCATGCCGACTCGCAATCCGTCTACCGGCAAACACCGCGACAGACAAAGCAGTTACGAACACGAGAACCACTGAAAATGCTGAGCGAAACGACACGCCCGTTCTCCCGCTCTTTTCCCTCCCTGATTGCAGCGACGAGCCTTGACTCCCTCCCCCTCCTCCGTCCCCTCTCGAATCTGCCGAGCCCGCGCCGCCGGCTCGGCCATGCCGCGACAAGGCGGATTGAGGCTTGGAGGCCTTGACGACGGAGGCTTGGGAAGAATCGGGAATTCGGGAGTCCTTCTTGCGCGGCTGCATGGAATTTTAACGCGAATGACTGATTATTCGGCTAAATTACGATAAAAAACGGCACGGAGGGGAGCAGGGACGAAATGAGTGTGTAACGTTGAGAGAAGCGTGTAGTTGAGAATCGTCAGCGGGAACGTTGCAGAAGGCTTGTTGAAAGATCGTGTAGGTAACAGGGACAAAAGCATATTCCGTTGCCGGGACTTGAACCCGGGTCTCTCGGGTGAGAGCCGAGTATCCTAACCGACTAGACTACAACGGATATGTCAATTTCAGACAAGAATTAGTATTAAAATGTAAAAACATCTTTCGCTATGTGTCGTTCGAGACTTCGCTAACCACGTGATCACACGATCGAATGAACCCGATTGGTTCGTTGGAAATAGCGGCGCAGCACACCTTGGGATTGACGTCGTCGCTCATCCAGATTTCAGCGCCAAGTTCAGATGTGGAAGTGAGGTCGGTCTAATAAGAGTTTCTGCGTTTTAGAGCGGTTCGTATGTATTGATCGAAACACCAGCACCGCGTGATAGAAAATAAACCCGCCTTGTTAGAAGGCTTTACGTCAAAACAGGCGTGAAGGCTGGCGGGTCACGGTTTTACGTACCTGGTTCGTTTAGCGCGGCCCAGTACGTTAGAAAAGCACAGAAGCACTAATTTCGCAGCGCGTGCGTGGCTGGCAGCAGTTGAACAAGCAAGGCTCGCTCGGCTGAAACCCCGCCATTTATAGTGCACGGGTGTCAATGCTGTCATCTAGTCTCGCTCCAGCACGAAACGCTTCAGCAATGGCGGCTACATTTGCGCAGTCCACGTTATCTAGGACGTCCCTGCAATCGCTATCTGTGCCTTCCGCATTTCCTGGACACATTGGGCCGAAAAATATCAGCAAGAAGTCTAAAGCATGCTCTCTGTTCACATCCTGGTTCGGTCAGAATCTGCGAGCTCCTATTGGTCGAGCCAGCTCGGGCAGGAATGGCTGTTTTCGGATTGGCGGAGCCGCGGGAGCGAGAGCCGTGGCGGCGACGGAACGATCGGCGGCTGATCGCATTGGTTCGAACGAAATGCCGAGTAAGCCTAGCGTCGCGCAGTGCGTGGTGCAGTGCGGTATGATGCGCTGGGTTATGCTCCAGTGCGGCAGAAAACGTCGTAACGATTGGTGACGTGCTGGAGTGCATGGCAGCGGCGGCTCGAAGGATTCCGCATTTTTCGCAATCTCCGCGCGCTCTTCAGTCCCATGCTTCTCATGTTCACCCTTTTCCAATACCTTCACTGCCTCGCCGTCGTGCTGCGGACGAGGCGGTTTATCCGTCGACTCACAATAATGCCTCACATTCAGCCGGTTCCGATGTGATCCTTCTTTCTGCCTTAAACTTGCCTGCCTTACCTTCGTGATGCAGATGAGGAGGC